GTTCCAAGTTGACTCACCCTTTGGTGAGCCACTTGAGGGTAAACTTTAGAGAAGGAAGTGGTCGTTCGAACTTAACTCACCCTTTTGTCGGCAATGCAGGGGTAAAATTTAGAGAAGGATGTTGCCAGTTCAACTTGACTCATCCCTTTGTGTGGGCAGTGCAGGGTAAATTGTAGAGTCGTAGAGAAGGAAGTGGTCATTCCAACTTGGCTCACCCTTTTGTGGGCCATGCAGGGGTAAATTCTAAAGAAGGAAGTGGCCCTTCCAAGTTGACTCAACCTTTTGCGGGGCATGCAGGAAGAAAATTTAGAAAAGGATGTTGAAATTTCAACTTGACTAACCCTGTTGTGGGCAATGCAGGGGCAAAATTTAGAGAAGGATGTTGCCATTTCAACTTGAATCATCCCTTTGTGTGGTCAATGCAGGGAAAAATTTTTAGAAGGAAGTGGTCATTCCAACTAGAATCACCCTTTTGTGGGCAAAGCAGGGGTAAATTTTTGAGAAGGAAGTGGCCATGCCAAGTTGACTAGCCCTTTTGTGGGCCATGCAGGGGGAAAATTTAGAGAAGGATGTTGCCATTTCAACTTGACACATCCCTTTGTGTGGGCAACGCAGGGAAATTTTAGAGAAGGAAGTGGTCATTCCAACTACACTGCCGGGCCGGGGCCGGGCCGGTGGCCGGGCCGGCCGGTGACCGGGCCGGTGTCCGGGCCGGTGGCCGGGCCGGTGGCCGGTGACGGTGACCGGGCCGGTGGCCGGGCCGGTGGCCGGGCCGTGGCCGGGCCGGTGGCCGGTGCCCGGAACACAAAAATAGTATATTATGCCGAACCCTGGTAGGATGACCTCCCCGGTGGTCAACCAGGGTCCCCCTGTTGTGACCCACTGCCGTATGACTTATGAGTGCCTAACGTGCTAAGGTGTTGTGTTGTGGCATGCCGAATACTGTCCGCATGTGGAGCCATACTTCTTCGGAGTAAGAATCTCAAATAATTTTGCAATAGATGTCCAGCACTCTTTGTACCCTCTTAAACACGAGCGGACATGCTTTTGCTGAACAACATAAGGAATCCAAACGAAATTCGCCGGAATGGGCAGTCCTTCACTGCCTCAATGATTTTTTTGACTTGTTTCTTGCCAACCGGGTCTTCAAGGTTCTCTCCTGAAAGGCAAATTCGTTCACCCTATGGAAAAAAACCTTTAACATGCACGTCCCAGGACCTACCACGTCGTACCTTTGGGTACATGGTGCTGCTTCCCTGCTTCAAACAAATGTGGGAATGTGGTTAGGTTTGACAAACATCTTCAACAACATGTTTTGGCGCTACCCGTTGGTTCGCATCCAACAACATGAGCGTGTGTGTGTGTGTGTGTGTGTGCGTGCGTCACCCTCCGTTTCCAGGAGTTTGTTTCTTACTTAGTCAGCAGGGGGGCAAGGCCTCCAGCGATGAACCTTGTCCAACGAAGCTAAGTCGCTGGAGGGGAAGCGAATGGAGACGTCCATTCGTGTACCTGCAACCGGCACTTTTGACCACGCTGTCCAATTCCCGGTTTTTTGCTTCCATGGTGGTTCCATGATACTCCCCATGAACCCATATTCCTGCCGCTGAGCTCGCCACCGCCGCTTTCTGCAGTCACGCGCAAACAGTGTTTCCAACTATTCAAGTGAGCTGACTTCATCGCCGTTCCGTTCCATCATTCTTTGTCTCGAGGAACTGAGTTAACTGCAAACCCTATGACTAAGTGTGTGCCGCTCTGTCGTCCCAGTGGGTGCAGAGTGTGATCTCCTGCAAGGGAGCGCTGAAACCATTGCGAATCACATATTGGTTCGACGGCCTTGCACTCGTGAATCAGGTTTATTTGCTCTTTTCTGTCCCACCCATGAATCTTCTGACCCCAATGCTGCCGATCTACGGTGTTTCGAAGCCGCCGGGCATACGGAGAATGAACCCCCGCGGACCCCCCCTCCTCTTCTGTACCACCCCTCTAATTAGGGTAACAGAAGGAAATGGTACTCGACGCACACACTTGTGCGTCGAGTCCTTTCCCTCTGCTGTCCCTGTTCTAGTCTACTCTGCCCGGGCGGTTTAAAACTAAAGTCCCGCCTAACTATTGCACGTAATTAGGAACCGCTAAGTAATCAGTAACTAGAGTGCTAAGTATACAGACACACACATGTACACACACATGGACATACGCCCCCTCCCTGCCCCCCGCTTTCTCTCTTGCGCTTTCTTCGTTTTCTAGGTTTTCTTTCAGGCTTGTTAGGTAGTTCTTGAGGCACGTTTCCCTACCCCTCTTCAGTCAAGGGCTACGTAGTCAAGTGCTAAGTTGTCACTTTTTTTCCGCTACTCCCACCTGTCCTTCTTGCCCTTTTCGTTTTGCTCTTTCTGTCTTCGTTTTTCTTTCCTATCGCTTTATAGGCGCCTATTCAGGTTCTGCGAACGAGCGCCGCGAAGCGGCCGGGTGTGCAACCCCTGGGCCAAGGGTTCACCACCACCACCACCTTTTCCACCTTCACCACCTTTTCCACCGTGACAGGGAGTTTCACAGGCAGGGGCGTGCAGCATCTGTGGTCCACTGCACGCAACGAAGCTACGACCACAGATGGGGGATCAAGGACGCTTGATCCTGTACCTGCAGAATAACACATTGACACCAATGGTCCACCCTGCCGCTGTTTCGTTGGTTTCATGGTTCTTCCTCACGATACCCTCCCACAAACAGGTTTTCCACCACAGGTCTCAGCCGCTCGTGAGTTGCAGCCGACCGCGCGAGATTTTGCCACTGCAGTCACGCACCAACAACTTGTTCAACATTCAAGTGAACTGACTTTCTCGCCATACTGTTCACTCACCATTTTCGACCTGGGAACTGAGTGTAACTGAATACAATTGTCAGAGTGTGTTTCGCTCAGCCGTCCCACTCGGGTGCTGAGTGTGATCCCCGTCATTGGGGCGCTGTCTCATCGCGCAAGCAGTAACTGACCTCACCACCTTTCACAGGAACTCCACTGGAAGTCAGCTCCACGACCACCGAATTAACTGCCACAACGGCCGCCGGGCCTAAACACGGGAACTGTCAGTTTTGCAGCGCTTGCATTTTTCTGCATGATTTTGCATTTTCCGCGTGATCTTGCATATGTACTCAAGCAATCTGACCGGAGTTTTCGACAGTTTAATTCGATATGCATGAACACCCTACCACACCACATACTAAAAATCAGGGATGCCACCACCGCCGGGAGCCAGCGCTTGGCTCTGTCAGGCCTCCAATCCAGACTTCACACTATCCACAAATACACTTTTCCACCTTCAAGCGCTGAAGCTGCTGCCGCAGAGCTAGTGAGGCTCTATGTCCAAAAAGGACACAACCAAATTGCTTGCAACCGATTTTCGAAAAAGCGCCGATCACGGCGATCTGTGTGTGTCAACCCCTGGGCCAAGGGTTCACCACCACCACCTTTTCCACCTTCACCACCTTTTCCACCATGACAGGGAATTTCACAGGCAGGGGCGTGCAGCATCTGTGGTCCACTGCACGCAACGAAGCTACGACCACAGATGGGGGATCAAGGACGCTTGATCCTGTACCTGCAGAATAACACATTGACACCAATGGTCCACCCTGCCGCTGTTTCGTTGGTTTCATGGTTCTTCCTCACGATACCCTCCCACAAACAGGTTTTCCACCACAGGTCTCAGCCGCTCGTGAGTTGCAGCCGACCGTGCGAGAGTTTGCCACTGCAGTCACACACCAACAACTTGTTCAACATTCAAGTGAACTGACTTTCTCGCCATACCGTTCACTCACCATTTTCGACCTGGGAACTGAGTGTAACTGAATACAATTGTCAGAGTGTGTCACCCTCCGTTTCCAGGAGTTTATTTCTTACTTAGTCAGCAGGGGGGCAAGGCCTCCAGCGATGAACCTTGTCCAACGAAGCTAAGTCGCTGGAGGGGAAGCGAATGGAGACGTCCATTCGTGTACCTGCAACCGGCACTTTTGACCACGCTGTCCAATTCCCGGTTTTTTGCTTCCATGGTGGTTCCATGATACTCCCCATGAACCCATATTCCTGCCGCTGAGCTCGCCACCGCCGCTTTCTGCAGTCACGCGCAAACAGTGTTTCCAACTATTCAAGTGAGCTGACTTCATCGCCGTTCCGTTCCATCATTCTTTGTCTCGAGGAACTGAGTTAACTGCAAACCCTATGACTAAGTGTGTGTGCGCGCGCCCTGACGTTCATGAATTTGCAGCTAGAGCGATGTTGCATATTTGTCAGCTACACCGACTCACAAAACCTTGGGTACAGCATCAACTGTGCAACCTGCAAATCTATGCATATCTGGAATCCAAACAGGGAATTGTTGTTGAAAAAACTCAGTGGGGCTTGGGCAACTTTTGTTGATGTTCCGTGAGCCTTAAGAATATCAAGTGTCGATACTAACCGTTGGCCGGCTTATTGTAGATCTATTATACACAAAATCTATGCCTTCCTCACACCCCAACCTGATGCTCTGAATGAACCAAGCAGCCAGCTTTAAGCTTTCTCAATCTTTCAGAGGGCACCAAGTAAATCGGCTCGGCTTTCCATATAGCATCTTTGCCTCCACCCAATGATGTGGTGTTGAATAGAGCCCGAATGACTTTGCAGTGTTATCATTTATCATGACCGAACTGGGATGAATGAGACTATGGGAAGTAAAAGTAAAACTAGCTCAATCGATAATCCCTCTGCAACTTCTGATTCTGTATACAACAGCTGATTTTGTTTCGGAGAATGGCTCCATACACTGGGGTGCCAAAAGTTGCGCTTCTTGACTTCTAAAACATCACAAACCCTTTTTAAACGGGTGTGCAAATCTGACCGTGCTGTACCTGCCACGCAAAATGGACGTGTTAATCCGATCCGCTGTAGACCGCAAGTGTCATGTTGGAACAGAGTAAGAAGCGTAAACTTTAGGGTTCTTGAAGGGCGCTGTTTGTGTTTTTAAGAAGGTGCTGGAAATAACATAAGTTCCATAATTTTGATATCAACTCGCTTGAAACATATTATACAACTTTGATTATATGTCTAATTTGTTCTTAACTTTATAACAGGACAACGTTAATGTCGAACCTGACAACATTCCTCATGATTAGTTGTAAACACAAGGCTAATACCTAGCAATAACGCAGGGTGCTGTTTGTGTTTTAAAGAAGGTGCTGGAAATAACATAAGTTCCATAATTTTGATATCAACTCGCTCGAAACATATATATAACTTTGATTATATGTCTAATTTGTGCTTAACTGTATAACAGGACAACGTTAATGTCGAACCTGACAACATTCCTCATGATTCGTTGTAAACACAAGGCTAATACCTAGTAATAACGCACTGGGGTGCCAAAAGTTGCGCTTCTTGACTTCTGAAACATCACAAACCCTTTCCCCTTAGAATCCTACGTGCAACATGTCGACACCTCAGTTGCGGTCAGATTTCCACACCTGAAAGCCTTATAAATATTCAAATTTAAACGGGTGTGGAAATCTGACCGTGCTGTACCTGCCACGCAAAATGGACGTGTTAATCCGATCCGCTGTAGACCGCAAGTGTCATGTTGGAACAGAGTAAGAAGCGTAAACTTTAGGGTTCTTGAAGTATGTTGTTAGCACATTTCAGTTGGAGCGGACGAGGTAAGAGCAAGTTAACAAACACACACGGGTCGTCAATGACATCGATCTGATTTTGTGTTTTATTGTTTTAATATTCTTTTATATAACGTCTTGGAGGTGCAAAGAACCATTATATTGTCTGGGACTAATTCCAACCCAGCTAGCAAAAAAATGTATATGTTATGTTCGTATATGTTCGATGATTTCAAATTGACATGGAAGGCCCATGGCCATGACAGAACATATGACGGTACATCATTCAAATTCGAGCTCAACACCTAATGAATTGCACTATCTTGCAAAGCACATCCAAAGCCCATTAACGCTGTTTCAATAGTCAAATTCTGGAACACAATGAGCGTGAGCGTTTCATCGATCATGCAAAGGTTGAACCAAGAATCAGTTCGCCACTCGGCAGCAAATGACACAAATAAAATGCAACTTAGCGTTTTGGCGCGCACAGTGGTATTGACCAAACACAGTCAGAACACTGTTCCAAGAAACAGTTGCCATCATTTGCCCATTCACTGGTCCCTTTCATCATCTGGTCGCTGACAGCAAGAAGTTCAACACACATTGAGATTAACGTGGCTTTCCCCTCCAAGTTGAAACATCAGGATACCACACTCGAGTTTCATTCCCACCTGCCCCACACCATTCCCCGGAATGGCCTTTCTGTTCCAAAATGAATTCGGGCATCGGTGTACTGGTCTTGTTAACAAATCCGCTGGTCCATAAGACTTCCAACAATTCTGCCATGAAGCCTTGGGAGACATTGGCCAGGCTCAGGCTCTGTCGATCGGGTTTTCCTTGTCGATCAGGACCCCAAAACAAAGGGTTTCGTCTGCTGGGGTTTCCTCTCCACAGTTTGAGACAATTCCGCCCAGCATCTCTTTCGTAGCAAACGAGCCCGCAGCAAGTTCCTGCAAACAAAGCATCATCTGGATCGTCTGCACCATCAGTGCCCTTCAACGGGCCATTTGCCATGCTACAATGTCACACATAGTCTTCATCAATATAACTCCTTGCACAGGGCAAAGCTAACTGCTAGGTCCAGCTGCCTTGAGTCTCTGATTTGGATTAGGTTGAGGTCTTGTTCATCATCTGCTATCGTTTCCAATGCCAGGTCCAAAACCTTGGATGACTGTTTCAAGGCCACCAGGAATTCCAAGAAGCAGCACTAAAACTGGAAGCGTTTGTGAGTTTATGCCCGCATATCTTTCACCAGCACATGATCGGATCAAGGATCAAACCAATAGTCTAAGAAGCAAAAAGGTAGAGGCTTTGAAAAATCGAACTCTCGAGAAAAGTAGGGAGTATCAAAGACATGGGAAAACACTGTAGAAAGCTAGTACAAGTACAGAAGAATGTCAGACTTTGTAGACACAAGTCTGGAACAGTACTTACAAAAGTTTGAACAGCAAACACGTTCCTAGAGATCAGTAAGGAAATACAAATCAGTACGGAAAAGTATTTCCATACGACACTTTATCACATACCAGTCACCGCAATGCACTTCATCACACTAGACTACACTACAACATGGCACATCACCAAGGTATCCTGCAACACCTAATATCCCTAGGTTTCCAAGTGCCTCCTCCAAACACCTTTTCAGAAGGTAGCTAGTTGGAGCCCTAGGGTCTTTCGCCAAATCAAACACGAAACTACACCTCACCACATCACACAATACCACCTGGCAATTCACCAAATCAGCGGACTGGACACCAAGACAGCACCTTCCGTTAAATGATTGCAAAAAACGCACCCTGCTAGCTGGTAGAGACATGAATGAGTCCCCGGCATAAACATTATGTCCTTCAGCCAAGAATGGACTTGTCTTAGCAGCTTAGCAAAACTCCTTGTCTTCCAATCTGTCAAGCAAACGACCTGTCAATCTGATCCAACTTGTTGAATGCCGATGCTTGCTCACTTGACGAGTCTAGGTTCAAGTGGAGTGACAAAAGCATGGTTGGGCTGCCGCGAAGTTTAAAGGACGACCCCAACTGCAACATCCCGTTTGGTTCCGTGCTCACAAAGTCTTCTGACAAGAGACATCTTCTTTCAAACCAGAGTGCTTCTCACGTACAATTCGTTCCAGTGACAGCAGCAACAGCCGGCCCGGGGCAGTAAAATCTGGGCGGTGGCACGAGGTCACGTGCCAACTCAAGACCTACAACCTGACTAAGTTCAAGTACTAGCGTTCATGCACGTGTTCTGCCACAAAGGATGCACAACACACGTGCCTTCGAGTACCTCGTCTACATTCTCTTGGCAGCAAACGTCGCATTGACCACATCCTGCCCAAAGAATGGACATTGACAAGTGCAGCATGCAACATGAATGCTACCATTGTAGCTTTACTGCATATGGTATGACATATATACAGCATGCTGTTTCTATCGCGCCAATGCTCAGAAAGGAGGCGCTAGCGTTTCCCGCCTGTATTTTTGTCCAGCTCCTTTTCACAACCGTTGTGGCGCAACAAGGCTCTCCATCGACAGCGCCGGAAAACGGCGAAGCTACGCAAGCGTGTCCGCGAGGTCAACTCCTCCTGATGCAAACAAACCCCAAATCAGGACCCATAGATACATATTAGCAGTTGCGGCCGGAACCCAAAAAAACTAATTCAAGTAGCCTGAGATCTGCTCAAATAGTTTCATTTACAATGATGTCTAAAAAGGAGTTTGACGGCATGGGGTGTCACAACATAGGCGGCCCTAACAACCAGTCTTAGATTCGTGTTTACTAGGTTTCTTTCGGGTGCACACACCCGCATGCATCTCATGTGCTTCCTGCACGCCCTTGACCTGAACTCTAGACCCAAATCTCTGCTGGTCTCCTCCTGAGCCTTGTCGTCCATACTCTTGAACCTGAAGAGTGTCGCTGCTCAAATTCTGCCCGCAACGAAGGTGCTGAGGCGTTGTGTCGGCTCGCGTAGACTGGAAGATCAGCTGCTAGATAAATAGTTAAGCTTTAACTTGGGGGGGCATCGTGTGCGTGATTGTCCGTATGGCTTCGGAGGCGAGCAAGCGCGATATATCGCGATGCCGGTTGCGCAGCCCGAGGGAGTCTGCACTGACATCGTGGGTATGTTCCCCGAGGGAGACTGCAATATTGACATCGTGGGTCTGTTTTGCCCTGCCCGACCAAGACAGCAGACTGACAGACCGAAGCAGACAGCAGACTGAGACACCGACCAAGACAGACAGACCGAGACAGACTATTGACATCGTGTGTGTGTGTCAAAGCCTGTTTCTAAGGCTGCACACATTGTAAACTATTTCAAAACCAAATTTTAAAAGCAGGGGGCAATGCACGACTGACAGACATTGCCCAACGAAGACGCAGCTCGTGGTGAAGCAATGCGGGACGCCGCATTGTGTACCTGCATCAACTGTTGTAATTCTCCCTTAAAGTGCTAATGAGTGCAACCACATGTTAAATCACTTTTAAATCCGGCGGACTCACTCACCATTCGGTTCCAGCGCCTTTCCGTTTTGCCAAGTCAAGCGCTAATGAGTGTAAAGTGGAACTTCATCAGATCCAGCTCTTGCGAGCAACCTTCTAAGTGTGCGTCGCCACAAAGTCCGACTGAGGGCTGTGGTGTGATCCCCATCGAGGGGCGCTGCATGTGCATAGACCCAGTTCTGGGGGACTGCCACTGATTTATCCCTCTCTTCACCCCATGACCTTCTTTCTGATTACCGCTGGCTTACGTTTTGGCACGAGATTGCTGATCGAATGCCGCAGGGCCTCCTGCGATCGAACTACGGATTGAACGTGACACGTCATGTGCGTAAACAAAACAACGAAACTTTTTTGATACGTTCAAACACACTTTCGTCAAGGGAGCACCACAGGCTTGAGTCGTTTTTGCTTGAGATTGCTGATCGAATGCCGCAGGGCCTACTGAGATTGACCTACAGAGGAACAGTGACACGTCATGTGCGTCAACGAAACAACGGAACACTTTTAAATACGTTCAAACACACTTGTGTCAAAGGAGCGCCGTATACGGCCGAGAGTGAGGAGAGTGAGCAACGTGAGCAGAGAACCAATAGGCGAGCAACTAAGTAATCTCTCTTTTTGCTCTTTTCGTTTTTCTTTCCTGCTGTTGCTTTCCGTTTTCTTGAGGTCTTTCTTTAGGTTTTAGGCGCCTTTCAGTCAAGGGAGCGCCGGCGGCAATGCCTCTGAGCCACACCCCCCCTCCATGCACGAGAACTCACACGTTTTACCCCACCCGCTATGTAGGATAACAGAAGGAAGTCGCACTCAACACACTTGGGTGTTGGTGTCTTTCCTTCTGTTTCTCCTGTCCTAGTCCTTCCCACCCGGGCGGTCTAAGACTAAAGCCCCGCTCGCTAACTAGTGCACCTAATTCATTCGGCTAAGTATTCAGTAACTAGAAGGTTTCATAACTAGTGGGCCTCGTAACTACTCCTACCTTTCTCTCTTGCCCTGTTCGTTTGCTCTTATTGTTTTTCCTTGTCTTTCTTTCTAAGGCTTGTTAGGTGGCTAGTACTTCTCTTGAGCGCCGCTATCGACGTGGTGTGTCTGTGTGTGTCAAAGCCTGTTTCTAAGGCTGCGCACCTTGTAAATATTTCAAAACCAAAATTTTAAAGGCAGGGGGGCAATGCACGACTGACAGACATTGCCCAACGAAGACGCAGCTCGTGGTGAAGCAATGCGGGACGCCGCATTGTGTACCTGCATCAACTGTTGTAATTCTCCCTTAAAGTGCTAATGAGTGCAACCACCTGCTAAAACACCTTCAAATCCGGCGGACTCACTCATCATTCGGTTCCAGCGCCTTTCCGGTTTGCCAAGTCAAGCGCTAATGAGTGCAAAGTGGAACTTCATTAAGTGATCCAGCTCTTGCGAGCAACGTTCTAAGAGTGTGTGTGTGTGTGTGTGTTTTCGTCCGTATGCCCTGCCCAACTGAGCCAGACAGACTGAGACAGACAGACTAAGACAGACAGACCGAGACAGACTATTGACATCGTGTGTGTGTGTCACCCCCTG